GTGCCTTTGTATAAAGAACTTAACAACAACAACAGGGTTAGTATGGAGGCCTGGTGTGCCACTGCAGGATAATGCACTGGATCACAAGGTCGCTTTGAACTACAAGATCAGTGGTTCACATGATTGGTTGAATGCTGACTATAGCTTAACACCATCTAACCCAGGGCAGAATGCTTTAGTCGTGATTACATTTGCCAAAACATACAATGCCTTGGGCAAAGCTAAAGTGTCTCGAATGCTAACTGTGTGGCTGGAGTCCTGGTGTGGCGCTGTGGGTTAATGCATCAGACTGCAGTCATTTGAACTGCAAGGTCGGCAGTTCAAGCTCACCAGTTGCTCCTCGAAAACCCTATACAGGGTCGCTATGGGTGAGACTCGACTCAACGGCACTTAACAACAACAATAACTACATGGCTAACACTGCCTAAGGGCTGTACTTGTTTGTAAGAACTCATGTCATTTTCACCACAGTTCTATAAAGTACATTCTCGTCATTGTATTTGACAAGCAAGTCACTGCAACCCATAGAAGTGAAGTAACCTCCTCAAGGTTACTTGGAAGTCAGGTCTGGCTGCAGAACCACATTCTTATACTACAGTCAACATTCAACTAATCACATGACCTCATTTACAGAAAAGTATTTTTAAAACGGGAACCACTACAAGTCACAATGAAACCAACAATTCCAAACAAAATAGGCTGTGACAATTCCAAGGAGGAGGGGTGAGGGGGTAGCAGTACCCTAAGGGAGTCAGCATCCCAGCTCTCTGGAGTCCTAGCTGACTGACATTGGGCGCATCACTTCATCCTTCCAGCATCTGTTAATGCATCTGAAAGATCCTGACTACTTGTTGTTGTTGTTGTTAAGTGCCATGGAGTTCATTCCGACTCATAACGGTGGGTGGTTTGAACCCGCCAACCTTACGGTTATCAGTCCAGTGCTTATTTACAGTGCCACACCAGAACTCATACTTCCTAGGATGGTCCTTTGTAAAAATGACCAATAATGTGCCTGCCGCCCAGCATGTATTCAGTAAACATTGGCTCCAAAACCAGAGGCAAATCGTGAAGCACAGGGAACTTTCTTTGCTAAACTATTCAACAACAATTATAAAACAGGGATCCTAAAGACATATTTCTTTTTATTGCTTTCAACAACACATATGCAAGGCTTTACTGATTTTCTTAATACCGGAAGCCTGTAAAGCAGTCAACATCGTTACCTCTAATAGGAGGCAAAAGGTAGAGTCCTGCCTATGGACATAAGACGGAAGCTGCTGAAGAACGTTCAGGCATTAAAGGAGCGTAGTGGTTACGAATCGGGCTGCGAACCTTAAGGTCAGCGGTTCGAAACTACCAGCCGCTCCGCGGGAGAAAGATGAGGCTTTCTACTCCCGTAAGGATTTACACCCTCGGAAACCCTGTACAGGGTCGCTATGGGTCGGAACCGACTCGAAGGCACTTAACAACAACAACAACATACAAAGAATACCAGGTCTGAGAGTTGCCAGTGAAGCGCACTAAGAAATGTGTTTCCAAGTGTGGATGAAGTTCTACAAAGTGCGTCCTAAGAGGAAGGACTAAAGAGGTTAGGGGTGTTTTCTCTGGGACCTGGGCTGCTCAAGAATCAACAATTTGTGTCGTTGCAGAAAGCAGAATGGGGTACCCATCCAAACCAAATCCACTGCCTTCCAGCTGATTCCTACTCACAGCAACTTTTAGAACACAAATTGTTGGTGTGGAGTCCTGGTGTGGCGCTGTAAAAGGAGTATTGGGCTGGTAAGCCCTTCAAACCTATCAACACTCCTTGGAAACACTATCCAGGGTCGCTAAGAGTCAGAGCTGGCTCCACGGGGTTTAACAACAGGTCCTTGTGTGGCGCTGTTGGGTCAGCACTGGACTGTGAAGCACAAGGTCGGCAGTTCAAACCCCCTTCTGCTCCTTGGCAACCCTCGACAGGGTCACTATGAGTCAAAACAGACCTGCCCCACAGGGTTTGCAAGGCTGCTAATGTTTATGAAAGCCAGGTGCCAGGTTTCAGCTGATGTTTGAGGAGGCAAGGCTAGAGATACAGACAGCCCCAGACATAATGAACGACAGACGGGATGAATGCCCACCCTGACTAGGAGCCCTGGTGGCCGTGGTTAAGTGCCCGGCTGTTTTATCCGCGGTGGTTCTATCCCTTAGCGGCTCCCCGGGAAAAAATACCTGGCGATCGGCTCCCGTGAAGATTTACAGCCTTGGAAACCCTATGGGGCAGTTCGACTCTGTCTTTTAGGGTGCTAAACGCGCTCCGGTGACACCGTAGGCTAAGTGGTGGGCTGCTAACCGAAAGACCAGGGGTTCAAATCCACTAAGAGCTCTTGGGAGAACGATGAGGCTGGCTGGCTGCTTCTGCAAAGATTTACAGCCTTGGAAATCTATAGGGCCGTTCTACTCCGTCCTATAGGGTCGCTGTGAGTCCGAATCGAATTGAAGGAACACCACCGCCACCAACACCACCATATGGAAGTCTGACCAACTCTGCAGTCCCATCCTAACTTTCCAGACGGGCCGCTGTTGGGAGGCCAGGGCGATCTGCTCACAGCAACATTGACTGAGCTGTATTTTAACAATCATTTCCTGAGGGGCGGAAGGGTTGGCATGGAGAAAAGTGGGTTCGAACATCAGAAGGCCGCAGAGAGCGCAGGGCCCAGGGATCCGCGACCTGAAGGACATCTTGCTGACGAGTTTCCGACTAAACACGAGGAGCTAATTCCGTCAGAGAAGCTTCCAGGACAGTCCCAGCAGCTGCCGCCCCAGCACTCCCCACTGAGGGAAGCAGAGAAAGAGGCCGGCTCGGCCCGCAGGGAAGGACTAGGGAAGGGAAGGCCCGGTGGAGCGGGAAACGAGCTAGCCCCGGGCGTGAAGCGACCGGAGCCCGTTAGAAGGCCTAGCCGGCGGCGATGCCAAAGGCCACGGAGACTCGGCCTGCAGGCTTTTGGTCGCACGCACTCACCAGCCCGCTGCCTCGCAGCAGCCTTGTCGCAGCGCCCTCCATCAGTGAAGCAGACCAGTCCCACCGTCAGTCCTCCAGCACTGTAGCGCCCTAGCACCTCCTAGCTTCGCGCCGACTTGGAGGCGGGCCGAGCCAGAACTCCGCCCACTCATACACGCCCCTAACACACCCCCAATGGCCGCGCCCTCGCATTCCAACCAAACGCCAAAAAGCACACAGGCCCCGCTTGTGTTCTCGCCCTGCACCCTGCTCTCGCGAGACTTGGGCATGGCAAGGGGGCGGGAAGGAAGCCGAGACACAACAAACATGGCGGCGGTGACGAAGACGGCGGCAACGGCGACGGCAGCGGCGTTGAACAAGGCGGTGGGGGTTACTCGGTGCGGATGTCAGGAGGTGGGTAGTAGGCTGCCGATGCGGATGGCAGCCACGCTGCTGCTTGGTACGGATAAGAAGGAGCGGTGGGAGCCGAGAGCCGGGTTCGCGGCCGGCCAACTGACCCCGCCCGGGACTTGAGCCCCAGCGGAGAAGCGGGCGTGGTCGTCGCTTGATGGGGTCACGACCAGGGACCTTCCTGGACTGATTGCAGAGGGCTGCTGAGTTTGCGGTTGTGGGAACCGAAGGGGAAGGACGCCGGCGGTGCTTGGGCTGGGCGCCGTAGGTCAGGGGCAGGGGGCTCAGGGTGGGGGCTGCTGCCTCTCGCTCTGACAGGTGGTTTGCTGGGGGCTCCCGAGGTGTGCGTTTTCATGGGGGCGAAGGGGTTCCTAGGTGTTGGTCCGAACCTTGTTGAGGATGCCTCAGCGGGTTTGTTGGTTACGAGATGGACTTTTAAAACCTCCGTCTGTTACCTGGTGAACCTGCCCCTTGGATCCCTGTCTTCTGCATGTGCACTCTAACTGGGAAGATGTCAGGTGTGGGGAGCACTTTGGAGCAGAGGACTATTTTGGTTCTTGCAGGGTTTAAGTCTCGTGTTAAACTGTATGGAGTGCAAGTAGCCAAGCCATGCATCTAGTAAGTGCTCGATAATTCTGCCCATCAGAGCTGACGTTACACTGGTCCCAGCTGTCACTGAACACATGGACCATTTAGTGTTGGAACCCGAAAGAGAAGGAAGAAATAAAGACGCTTCAGTGTGTGAGATCTAAGGAAACTGGAGTCCGGGTGTGGCGCTGTAGACTAAATCACTGGATCGCAAGGTCGGTTTGAATCGCAAGATCAGCGGTTCAAACCCACCAGCTGCTCCTCAGAAACCCTAGACAGGGGTCGTTGTGAGTCAGAACCGACTCGATGGCACTTAACAACAACAAGGAAACTCGGTTTAAGAAGAAAAAAAATTACTTCAAACTATTATTGGCCTACACTAGCAATGTGTAAATTCCGTTTTATATTGATAATTTGATTTGGCATCAGCACAGCTAGAGACTAATATATTCTTGGGAGATCGTTACAAGTGAATTGAGATGTTTGGTGTGTGTTTTCGAGAAAAATGTTTTGGAAAAACATTTTGGATTAAATGTTTTAATTGTTTTGGCTTGTGGTCGAGAGAACAATAAAAATAAGAATTAGATGTACCATTACTGGGTGTTTGTCATCGATTTTTGCTTTTGTTTTTAACCCTTATTCCACAAATGTTTCCCTTTGGGATTAAAATTTATGGGATGAGTGCATTGCTTCTTTGCAACCTTAGCTGTTTGGCAGTACAGTGTCTGGCCCTTTTATAAGTATATTGTGAATATATTCAAAATTAGAAGGACATTTACAAATTTACCAAAAAATAAAACCTGAAGAAATCCATCAATGGAAAAACCATAGTCACAGTAGTACACATACTAGTTCTGTGCTATGGAACTGTTGCTGAAGTGAACCCATTGCATTGTTCTTTGATTTTCTGTCCGTTTTTCAGCTTTCAGTTAATGGTAAGATTGGTACAAGTTATTGTTTTAGCTTGCTTAAGCCTGGAAATACTGATTATAATTTGATTGTAAAGGTGTTGATTTGTGATGTGCTTTTCTTTGCAGACTTCTGTATGACTTTTCAATTTTAGTTGAAATTCCCTCCATGGCCTTTTTGGAGTCTCTTGGTGTGTCTCCAGAGGCTATATCCATTCCTCTTCATTTCATCAATGGTGGGGTGGCAAGAAAAAGGAGGAACTGATTTGGGGTGAAAAGGTTAGATTGTGTAACACTTCCTTTGGTTTTCTTCCAACATGGTTTTATTTAATTTTTTTTTTTTTTTTAAACTTTCTGTTGTGAGTTTTATGAAGGTTTACCGAGTAGAACATCCATTTTAGGTCAATTCCACAAATCATATACTTGGCTTCATTAGGATGCTTGCAGTCCCCTCCATGTACCATCAGGTAACGGTATTCCCTTGTAACACTTGCATTCCTCCCTGTGTCTGCGCTATCTTCATCTTTTCTTCTGCCAACCTCCCACTGTTGTATATTGCCTGCTATGTCACCCCTAACATGATTTTACTTACGTTTTACTTCTAGAGTATGTTTCCTAATTCCTCCAATCATCTCAGTGTCCCTTTCTGCCTTCAAAGGTATTTGTCTGTGACAGTTCTGTAATCACAGGAAACATTCTTATTCCATTTGAAGGCACATAACCATTTTCTGCTGTATACAAACCAAGTCTCGTTGGTATGTAGTCTATGGCAGAGCCGATCCTTCTATGGCCTTAACTGTGAGCTTATAGAAGGAAGCACACATAGTGAACTACAGGCACTTTGTGTGGCCATGGCCCCAGTACTTGTTGTTGTGATGTGCCGTGGAATCGGTTCCGACTCATAGCGACCCTGTACAGGGTTTCCGAGGCTGGAAATCTTTATGGGAGCAGAAAGCCTCATCTTTCTCCCACAGAACAGCTGGTAGTTTCGAACTGCTGACCATGAGGTTCGCAGCCTGATTCATAACCACTATGCTACCAGTTGTCATGTCACCCCCGACTCCTAGAGAGCCCGTGTGTATCAGTAGACCTGTGCACCATAGGATTTCCAACAGTTGATACTTAAGAAGTCGAATGTCATACTTGTCTCCCCAGGAGCCTCTGGGTGGACTCAAACTTCAACCCTGAAATAAGGTATTATATAAGTGCCTTCCTTGCTAAGTATGGTTGTGATTAAGTGTCACCAAGTTGGTTCTGACTCGTACCAATCCTGTTTCTGAAAAAGGGGCGTTTTCAGCGGCTGACCTTGCAATTAACAGTCCAGTGCTTATTCTACAGCAGCACGCCAGGACCCCAAGTATGGGGGTAGTGGTGCTTGTGTGCCATTGAGTCAGTTCATACTCATAGTAACCCTGAATTTCCAAGAGTAACTGATAAATTCCTGGTGTGGTTCTGAGGGTTAATACAACGGGCTGCAAGGTCAGGTTGAACTGCAAGGTTGGCGGTTCAAGCTCACTAGCTGCTCCTCGGAAACCCAATACGGGGTGACTTTGAGTTGGAACCAACGCAACAGCACTTAACAACAACAACTACTATTCCCTAATCATGTTCACAGTTTATTGGAAAGGTAGGCTTTGAGTATAAGGTTGGATAAAGAGCTTTGGCTCTGGTGATTTTTTTATCTTTATTTTAGGGTTGTGGTTGTCTTTCATTGGATGATTAGATGATGCGACAGTTTTAATGATTAGCTCCAGACAAAGAGGTTGTGTGTGTGTGTCACTGACTTCCCATTTATAATCTGGAACAGAAGAAAGATCAGACAGAGGATTTCATACAAGATCAATTCTCTTCCAGAACCATGGGAGGTAGGAGAATAGCGCAGGTTCACTACCTGAAGATAAAGAGATTTTCCTGCTCTTTTGGGACATCAAATTTATTTTACAAATACCTTTTTGTCTTTCACTGGTGTTGATAACCTCTGGTTGTTTTTGTAAGACCACTGTTCTATTTTGGGCCTTATATGGATAATTTGGAAGAAGCTATTGGCATAAAAATAGGTCTGCCCTCGCCAGTTTCTGCCTGGCTTTGAACAGGTTTTTTCTAGCTCAACCCCCTGCTGAGAATTTGCCTTTCCACCCCAGATCTACTGAATCAGAGTCTACATTTTAACAAGATTTATACATAAAAGTCACCTGTGGATATTGTTATAACATAGATTCTGATTCTGTACATCTGTGGTGGAAATGCAGATGCTCAGAGGAGGTAAGTCTCTGTCTAGACACGCACCTCGTATTGTAATTCATGAAATTTCATGTTAGAGGCAGCTCACTTTAACCAGAGTAATCATAGAGGGGACCCAGGGACCCTGGGACCCTGCTGTCTCATAAGAAATGATCGTCATAAGATTGTTGTTAGGTGCTGTCGAGTGCTTCCATCCCATAATGACTCTGTGCACAACAGAATGAAACACTGCCAAGTCCTACACCAACTTCACATCCAATATCACCCTTGAACCCCTTGCTGCTGACACTGTGCCAGTCTGTCTCGTTAAAGGGGCTCCGTCTTTTTCGCTGACCCTCCACATTACCAAACACGATGTCCTCCAGAGACTGGTCCCTCCTGATAATATGTCCAAACATGAGAGATGATGTCTGGCCATCCTGGCTTCTAAGGAACATTCTGACTGTACTTCTTCCAACACAGATTTGTTTGTTCTCGCAGTCCCTGGGACTTTCAGTATTCTTCTCCAACACTGTAACTCAAATGCATCAATTCTTCTGTCTTCCTTATTCACTGCCCAACTTTCACATGCATATGAGATTGGGTCAGGCGCACTATCATAAGACAGTATTACTTAGAAGCTCCAAGGCATTGAATCCATTGCTGTTGGGAAAGAACCGTTGATTGAGAGCGAATCAGTTGGTTAATGTGTTCCTAAATGAGATTACTGTGGTATGTTTGTGGAGGTTTTAAGTCCTGCCTTTGATACTTCTCCAAATAATCAGTTACACTGTGGAATTGTTAGGTTACATTTTTAGTCCTCTACTTTTTTAACTCCATGGTACTTAACAACAACAACAACTTTTTTAAAGACCAGAAGGTAGTTTGGATGTAAAACCTTTGTTTTCTTTCTATATCAATGTCTTCCGTAGTTTTAGAATTGCTGTTCTTGTCCTGTGTGTTTTGCTAAGAAATCTGTACTTGAGGTGGAGAAAGCTTGATTTTGAACCAAAGACTCAATTTAGATTTTAAAACTTTTCCTTCACACCACCCTCTGCTGATTGAACTCGAGACCTGACCTTGTCAATTGCATATGGGTGGCTGCAGTAAATCACTTTTAAGTGGGCACAGGATGCTTAGTGATTAAATAATGCCTAATTTTTCAATCACTACAGAATGTCTATGGCTATTAACAATAGCATTGTGCTTAAAATTCTCATTTAGGAATAGTTTTCCTTGATGTTTACAATGTTATACACTTTTCATTGGCATCCGTTGTGTTTTCTGTCCATCATGCATTATGATATGATTGAAAAGCAGTGCACAATTATGGCATGAAACGCAGTGAAATTTATAATGTGACAATGTGAGAATAGTCAAGACTGTCAAAATATGCCAGGCCGCCTCCGTAATTAGGCACATTGGTGTGTTCTTGAAACTGGAGATGTCTGGATACAAATCTCATTTTCTTCTGCTTCCTCACTGGCAGTCTTGTGCATTTCATTCTGCATTGTCACAGGCCAGTGACCACAGCAGTGTTTTGTTGTCTGACTCAGACTTAGTATGGTTTGTTCTGTTTACTGAAACTTATCAAGGGAATTTATATACTTTCCAGTGAAAATGTATCTGTTTTCTTATTAGCTGATTGACAAGAAATGTTGCTGAATTGTGATACAAAATTTGGGATTACTTTAGTAATTGCAGCTTTTATTATCAGAACCTAAATATAACTTTTACAATTAAAATAATTATTTCCCAAATCTTTTTTTCCGAATTCCTGATAATCTTTCTCATTGGGACTGACCAGCTCACACCTCCACCCCCAGCCCCCCAACAGGTAAAATTTTAAAGGACCAATAACTGGCAGAATTAACTTTAGACACAATATAAATAGTAACGCAATGCTGGGGAAACAGAAAAGTGGTAAGTATACATGGTAAGATGGAAAGAAAAGTAACAGCAAGATGGTTCAGAAGCCACAACCATCTGTAAGATTGAGACAGTTGAATCAGATGAAAGCACGTGATTTAAAGAGATGATCTAAAACTAAAAGAAGAGATGAGTTTGGAAATTACAGATTGAGATCTATGAATTAATGAGATCCAGGTGTGGACCATGTTTGCGTCATCATTGCTAAGGAACAGCTCGATAAACTGAGGCAACATAAGATGCTGAATATATTCTCCAACCCAGTTGATGAACTAATAGAAAAAGAGGAAGAAACTTTGAATCTGGGAGAATGAGGAATTCCTTAATCTAGAATATAACTCTTTCTTGTTATAAAAAGAAATATTAGAAAAATTGCCATCCTTATCTGAGAGCCAGCCATCTGCTATAGACATTGGTAAAGCATGTTTTGCAGGTTTTCATATCAAACATAAAATAGCACTGAAAGTTGGAATTCTCCCATTTTACCAACTAAGGCTGGAAGTCCGTTCTGAGTCATCGAACTAGTAAGTTTGGTATAATAGAACACCTGCTATTCTTTTCATCCAGAGGAGAGACTTGTCGATAACTTCATCATTCTAGAAAGCAGTGAAAATAATCCATAATAAAAAAATATATACTTATTTTAAGCCCTCGGGCAACTTCTTAGAGGGAGGAAAGGAACTGTTCACAAAGATTATATTAAGAAGAGTAAGAAGAATCTGGTCCCCAATTGGCCCAGTGTAAAGGTATTTAGAGTAAAGAGCAGATTAGATGGAAGGGGGAAATCTGTTGTTCTGGGGCCAGTAAACAAGGGGAAACTAATAACCCCACGGTCTTCATTGCCTCTGATGGGTATCACTGCGTTGGTGTGCAGTACAGTACTCCAGTTCCCAGAGATTTCTAGCTGAGCCCTTTAAAGCAGGTTTAAATTTTTTTAGTTGGGTTGTTTGTGTTTGGTTGTTAATTTGTAGGACTTATTTATATATTCTGCATAATAAATCCTTATCAGATATGTGATTTCTACATAGTTTCTCCCAATCTGTAGATTTTCATTTTCTTGATAGTATCCTTTGTGTACAGTTTTTTTTTTATGAAGTCCTATTTATCTGGGTTTTTTCTGGTTTTGTTGC